AAAAAAAAAAAAAAAAAAAAAAGGAAACGACTAGGTAATTGTTGTGTAGATTGTTTCAGAACAGTGAGTGTGAGATATGTCCATTAGTATCACCGATAGCAAAGCCTAAAAATGTTTAACCGAAAGGAAAAATTAATACTCGATGAAGTATACACGTATTTGAGATGATTTCGCACGCGTTGAATTTTTATGTGTGCATAAATATTAATGTTTCATTAAAAACGGTAGTCACAGTCGTTATAACACTTTCTAATATTAAGACCTGAAATGAACATATAGAAATCAATTTTTTATTTCTAAAGTAGCTCTTGTGTAAGAAATATAATTTATGCACATATCCTTATTTTGCAATTTTCGTTAGGTTCTACATTTCATTTTCGTAGTACCAGTAGTTTTTGCAGTCATATGGAAATATTATTAGATGGTACGAAATTTGATGTTATTGAAATTAAGATTAACACGGACCTGATCAGGCCCAGTCTTCGGCTTCAAAATTTAATTTAAAGTAAATTTTTATATTATCTGACTTTATGTAAATTCTTATATTATCCGATTAATCAGTTTCTCAATTTTTGTTAATATAAGAATTTACGTAAAGTTAGACGGGCAAAAGTAACAACAATGAACGTGTAACTTTAAATAAAATTTTGAAACCGGTCATTTGATCGGGCCTGTTAAGGTTAGTGTTAATCTATGTATTAATGTACAAAATAAAAAATTGTATTAAAAAATTTGCACAACGATTCTAGCTTTTCAATCGAATGATATATCGTAACGAATTTCTAAATAACTACGACGATAATTATACATCTCTCTGGTTCCAAATCAGATCATATTACAATCTTATAACGTAATGGAATTCCGGTTTCTAAAATCTTTTCTCTGGTCACGAAACACTATGCACTAGTTCGTTTTGTAAATCAAACAGACGTTGATTAATAACTTAGATAATGTCGCCCGAAATGTTATTACACGTATTGCAATCCCTTTGTATTCATCCTCACAGTCGAAGTAATTTTCTTAACAAATAATTTCCTCCACGTTTCTACGTACGTTTCACTTTTCCACAGCACAGACCAGTTGAAATTTCAATGAAATACGCCAGGATACCACGGAGTTATGCAAAGCTGACATGGCGCGCGCGAGGCGCGAAGCGCGAGTGATAACGCGAGGTAGATTGTCTTTCCAATTTTACCGTTTTCTAACAGTCAGCTTGTGGTCTAGGGGTACGAATCACCACCGTAGATCCGACATGTGGATACAAACGGGTATTCGAGACTACACGCTGATTTTCGTTTTTTTCCGGGGGACTTTTTCGGTCAAAGGTTGACCTGTATCGATGGGCAAGAAGTTCCGCTAAACAGTTGAATTTTAATTCGCTTTTTAGGACGAATATTCATAAGCGTGACGTCAAAAGGCCTTGATCAGTAATAAAAAGGTGCATCAGCGATAACGTTATCGATACTGTAGTTGCAATTCGATATAACGGGTGTTTCGTGAAATTCAACCGCATGCTCCTTTTATTCTTCCAGCGCGTGGAAATGGACCTGGTCTTATTTAAATATACGTGCTTGCTAATTAATGTTTCCGCACTTAACGTATTACGTGTCACTCGTACCGTCTTTGACCGACAAAACCGTTGAAGTTTCTCCATTGAAACGTTCTCATCTCAGTGTACGTAAAGCAAGGGATGATATGCATCGTGGTTTACATGGAAAGTTCGTGTGGTATAGAATGGGTCAGATGTAACTATTCCACTGTAACTAATTAATTAAAACTGTGGATGAAACGAAAGGAAGTTACATTATTGATTTTATATATACTACCTACATAGAAATTGTATTATAATGAAGAGAAGCGATACATTGATCATTTCTATACTTCCTAAGTAGTCGCGATTATCTAAATATGTATCATCTATTTGTTGTTGCAGTTTCACGACGATTATACTTCTAGAAGTAAATATTTTACTTTAGGCACCTTATGCACAAGCAATCTTTCTATAAAATCATGATTAGTTGACTTTGCCCTATCATAATATCGAAGCGATTATCTTCTGCACGATAAGGGGGATTAAATCAAGTGTGATTCATGGAACGTGTCGAGAAGCCACGTGGTTGCATGTTGCGGTTTGGTATAAAATGTAGAATGTTATTCTCTGGTGCAAAATGAAACTCAATCAGAGGACGTAATTACTTACATAAGAAAATCGTTCGCACCAGTTTCATTCTTGTATCAAGATAATATCGACGGTGATATGTTAGTTCTTGATTTTTAAAACAATTGGTTTGACGCACTAGATGTATCTTTAATTCCGATTTATTTAATAAAATATACATGCTTGTAGGTAGCGTAATATATGTAAAGTTTGAAAGGGAGATTACTATGCTAAAGTTTTAATAAAGGAAAATATGTATCTAATAAAGTTCCGAATTTAAGTTAAGAATCTCGAGTTTAGAATAATAACCGAGTACTCGCTATGTATGTATTTTCATATTATCTCGTATTATTAGAAATTGAATGCGTTTTCTAATATGAGCATCCGAAGAATTTAATATAATATGAGCGATATTTAAGTTTATAACTATGTATGTATAGCGTTGCATCTTATGCAGCTTTTCACGTTAAATTCCAATATAATGGTAAAGATATTGTAATTACTAATCTAATCCTCCAACAGCTAATGTTAGGAATATTACGAAGATTTACTATATTATTGGCTCATCATACAACTCTCAAAATGCAAGTCTAAATGTATTTTTATTTTTTACAGTGTATTTCGTTTCTTTAAAACTGAATAGATTCGATTTATTAAAATGTTATAATATTATAATATTATCGATTTTGCTTCTTGCGTAAAAAATTTAAATTTTAAATGTCGTCATAAAAAAGAAGTTCAAAGGATTCAGGTTAAAAGACCAAATAGCCCGTGCTATCGGATTTTCTCGTCCTCATTTTTCATAGAGAATTTGATATAAATGCAGTCTAATATTAGCCAAAAAGGAAAACAGAACTTTGTCGTATTAAAATTTCACATTTTGCTCTTTATCAAAGAATAAAACACACAAATGAATGTATGACGTTAAAAACGCATTTCTTATTCTAATAAGGTTAGTTTTCAAATTAATGTTTATTCATTTGTCTCTGTTTATTTGTCAACTTCGCTAATTGTATTTTGATATTTCGTATTTCGATATCCTACAATTTTGTATAATTTGGAAGATATAACATTTAAATAAAAAACTGTATCGTTTTATTTTTAAAATTTTATGGAAGTCTTCGTAAAAAATAAAGTTTTATGATTATACTGTATCCTGTAATTTTGTTAAACAAATTTTATTGGAATTTTTATAGTTTTCAAAACAAAGAGTGACGGTGATTACTGAAAAATTTTTTCGTAAAAAGAATATTCGTTTTAATTTATGGAAACGTGTATTTAATCATGTTTTATAGACAACATAAATATTTCAGTGTTATTCTGACTTTTAGAGAACATTTTTATTACACAGAAGAAAATATATGCGTCCATTACCATTATTACGCATTTTACTATCTTTTTCATATAAAATAGAATAAAGCACAAAACATATGTATGTCATATATTTAATGAAATAAAAAATTTTCGACTTATCTATCCATATACTACTAATTCAAACAACAATAACCTACCTGTAACAATATCATACCTGTTATGTGGTAGTACGTAAAAATTCAATTTCACAACGGTCGAAATACGATAGTGTTCTATTTCACAATACTAAAAACGTTTCTTAAATCCTGGCGCCACTTCACACTACGAAAGATTTAAAACGCAAACTGACATAAAAGTTGAAATCAAAACATAAAAGATAAGCAGCGATAAATAAGAAGTAACCTGTCTTCCTTCCGGCATACTTTGCACCAAATGGGTCCATTAAAACACTTAAAATCTTGCGATATGGGAACACAATAAATCCACGTTTAGCAATGACACGGTTTAAAGATGCTGTTGCACGGTGAAGTCGACAACGGGTCACGCGAATGCTACACGATCGATACATCGAAACGATGATTGCACAAGTCGCGAAATTCCGACGCGAAAGGTTAAACGTTGTAGGAAAATCGAAAGATCGACGAACTTTCGAACGAACGATGAAGAAATCGCTTGGTAAGGAGCGCACTTCCGGCTTCTTAAGGCGCATGTACACAAATATGGCGTCTTGGTGGAGGACGGTGGTGAGTGTACGCGACGACGTGGGGTTTGGCGGGGTTTGTCGGATCGATAGCGCGCATGAGAGTGCGCGAACACCTACGTCGGTGATCGTCGCGACCTGGCCGCCACCGTGAGTCGAGTATCCGGCGAGTATTTCCCGATGTCAATAGCGTACGTGCGTCCGAGTGACGAGCACCGGAGCCGGTAGCTCGTCGACGAGATTCCAGTCGGTCGTGTGTGCCCATTTCGCGCGTTTCTTCGCTTAAGTACCCGTCGGTTTCCTTCATTTGGATCGTGCTTCGATAGAGAGCCGATCATCCGGACCTGTTCGCCGCGAGTGTATAAGGTTATGTTCACGGTGGTTACGCGCGGAAGTATCGCGGAAGCCGGTATGGAGTCTCGTTGAAAGTGATATGTCCGTGATGTCACGAGGCTCGCC